TGTGGGCTGCGAAGGCGGGCCCCTGCCAAAGGACCTCCTTGTCGGCCCGCACCTGTGCCTCGCAGAGTGACTGGGTGCTTAACCCGCACGCTCTCCTTGTAGCGCAGGCCACTGTAGTGGACCGGCATGGCGCTCCGCTGATCCGACACGCGGTCCTGCCAATCACCCAGAGCGTTCGACTCGCTCGGCGAGAGCCGCGCCAGCATCGCCAATGAAGGGCCCAAGCGCCGCCAACTGTAGGAGGTCAGCTCCTCCGAGTTGGCCACCACATCTGTAAAGGCCGACTGCACTGCCAGGGTAGACTCCCGAAGCGACCAAGGAAAGCCGCGATTGTCGAAGCAGAGCCCGCACTGGCTCTGTCTGCCCTTGGGCAATGCTTCGAAGGCCGTCTTCCAGGGTTCGGTCCAGTTCCACCCGGAGGCGAAGGAGGCTGGGATAGCGAAATAAAAGCCCTGGCGCAGCCGGCGCTGCTTGCCCTTGTTGCAGAATGCATGCACGGTCGACCCCATGATGCGCAGGACCTCGCGGCGGCGAAGGTGGGCATACCGCATGAAGCTGGAAGCCTGCATCCATTGTCCCAGCATCGCTGTCCACCGGGGGTCCCCCAACAAGCACCGCTCCTCGATGACCTTCTCCAGGTGAACCAACATGGGCGGCTCGGCCAGCGTGGCCTGCCGTTCGTCCTTAGGCTTCTGCGCTGCTCGGTACGAGGTGCCTCCGGAATCCGCCAGGCGAGCTCCGCCTGCTTAGCCGCCCAGCGCAAGCCAGCCACAGCGCGGTGGGGAGCGGCAGAAGAAAATATGAAGGCATCCAAATCGAGGGTGTCCACCTGCGGCCACGGGCGACCTGAAAGTGCTGAAGCTCACGCAAGGAGACCACGGCGTTCTTGATCGTAGCCACCTCCGCCTCGCTGCACACTTTTGCGGCCCGACGCCGAACGAAGCTTTCCCACTCGGCCTGGCGCCCGGCGTTAAGCTCACCGGTGGGGCGCTGAACCTTGGCATCTACCCAAAGGTCGGCGAGTTCCTCGACCAATGGTGTCTCCAAGGTGGCGCGTTCCGTAGGTGGGCCGGCCTGCAGTGGTGCCTTGGGCACGGCTGCTCGGCGCCGTGGCAGCGGTGGGCGCTGCAGCTTTGTAGACGGCCTGGCCGCTGAAGCTCCGGCCTGCGCGGCTTCGTGGGCGAATGCCAGGGCCTTTCCTTCATCAACCCTCTCCCGGACTTCTTTCCAGGCTGCCGCGATTTCTGCTCCGGCCTGGCGCTGTGCCTCCTCCGCCGACATAAAGACATAGGCGAACTCCTCGTCCTCTGCCAGACCAAAAGTGCGGCGCCACGCATCCACCCGGACCTCTACTGGGGTGCCCTCCCCGAAGAGACCGGAAGATGGGCCAGAAGAGGCCGGGCTGGCCGTCTCCATCCCAGCCGCCTCGAGCGACTGCTGCGCGTACACACCGGCCATCGCAGCTGCTAGCAGAGGCCTGAGCCGAGAAGCCGCCATAGAAGATGATTTCGAAGGCGGGGCAACAGCAAGGGCAGGAGAGCAGGAGACAGACTCAAGACCAGGCGGGTCGCCACCGCCTGACGAAGGCCCAGGTCCTCTCCTGGATACCGCTCCTTCACGGGAGCCTCGGGGGTCGCCACCCCGATATAATAACGTGCCAGCGGTCGACTCCGCGGCCGCCGGACCGGGCCAGTCATAATAAAGGGAGCGCCCCTTCCATGACCGCTCGCCATCACGCGCACCGAATGCAACGGCCCAGGCAGTCTCCACAAGCCGCTGCGTCACACCGCCTGCACCGGAAGACGGTTGGCACCCCGCAGCTGTGGCAGGCTGCTGGCAGCAAACCCGGTCCATAAGCCACGGCCCCCAGCCACAGCCAGATTGTCCTGTGAGCCCGGGCTCGGGCATCCTCCCGGCCGGCAGCCCAAGATGGAACCTCGACACCAGGTTCGTTCCAGACCCGGCTCCCGGCTTGCCACCGCCGGAAAACGATCCAGAGCTCGCCTGAGCTTGCTGCCCGAGGATGGGTCTGATCCGCCACCCGAGAGAAAAGGGCGTGGAGGTGGTTCGGCAGCAAATCCGTAGGCCACAATCCCGAATGTAGGGCCGTAATGTCGCCCGCCGACAAATAGGAGCGGCATGCATGGTAGTCACTCCACGCTTGAGCCGGGTCACTCCCTGGACGGACAACTGCAGCTGCGCGCGTGAATGTACCCACGAAAGGCAGCTGGAACCCTCCCCGGCTCTGGGCGCACCGTGCACAGTCCGTGACGACACACGGGACCGTGCGGATAGGTGGCAGACCTGCAGGCAACCCCTCAAGCAGAGGGGGGGAGGAGGGTAATGCTGGATCTCAAGGGCTGAAGCCCAAAGCCGTGAGGCATCCTCGTTCCGACCCTCGGAAACCAAATACAGAAGCTGAGCCCTGAGGTCCAACATGGCCGCTGGGTGCAACACCTGGGCCTCAGTGTGCACAGCAAAGCGGCTGAACACATATGCAAAGACCTCAGGTGGCTCCTGATCGAGTACATTTGCCATAATAGGCGGGATACCTCCGCAAACTAATGGCAACCAAATCCTGCCGTTTTGGCTCAACTGCCCGGCTTGAACCAAAAGGCATGATATCGAAAGCAGATGATACATGTGCACCCAAGCCTGCCAAACTCTACACATGGCATAAGCAATCTAACACAATATGCGACGTTATATTTTCACGGTGTGCTACACTTTCTTGCCCTATGTTACATGACTTTGCAATACATGTTGTGATAGTTTTAAAGTATATATATGTATATGTACATACAAACATGCTTCCTACATTCTACACTCTACTACATTTATACAATATCTTACTGTTGCATTTTAAACCACCAATGTACACGATATTAGACCATGTTGTATTATGCCACATTCCAGTACTCCATCTTACAGTGTATTGCGTTACACTACATGCTACTACAGATATTGCATCGTGCTACAGCTTTTACATGAAGCTGCATTCAGTTGCATTCATTTCGTTACTTCGATTGCAGTTGTCATTGCACCATAGCAGATGTCTGAGTCACCCCCTATTGTTCCCAACTTCATTATGTTGTTGCTTTCAGTACGTAGTCTATCGGCATATAGTTACTAGAGTACAGTATTGGAATGACTCAAATCCTACCGTGGTATTCTGAAATGTGTAATGAAAGAACACATACAAATACACAGCATTATCCCGCTGTTGATGCAGAGGCACCCAAGGATCGAAGGTGTGAAGCGTCATACAGAGCAGCTGGGTATGAACCCTTGTAAGCATAGCCAATATGGACAGCCCCCAGCACACCGCGGTTAAGGCGATCATAGTCCAGGAGAGGTGCGTCGGAAAAGACACCACAACAGCTCCTGAGTTTCCTGCAACCTCCCCAAGCTCGGAGAAACCACCAAGAAATGATGTGGTGTGGAGAACCATTCCAGACATGACCAGAAGCATCAGTGGCCATTTCTTCTTCATCAGCCACTGGCCTATCGCTAAGTTCGAAATCATCCTTCCAGACAGAATGTAAGCCCTCGCTACTGGCTTCACCACCATGATTCGACCCTTCTTGAAGTCATTGGTGGCACCTTGTCGGGTAATTTCAGTACCAGCCGGCAGTACAGAGGCCAACTTCGCTTTCTTCGGCGTGGAGGCCACACTGAAGACTCTCGCTTTCATCATTGTAGGCGGCACATTGCGGACTCTCTACACCCTACATGTGAAACAATCTGCCGTCAACATCGCCGTAGGTTTGATCACTAACGCTACCGCAGACGAGGAAACACACTTCAAGGTGGCCCGAGAGAGCGGAGGGAAGCGAGACACAGAGAGAGCGAGGCAGAGGGAGAGAGAGAGAGAGAGAGAGGGAGAGACTGAGAGACAGAGAGATGCAACGACACAGAGACACGGCCACACACATGGGAAGGGCGCTTCAGGAAGCAGCAACATGCAGCAACGACGATCGTTGCCGTGTGTATGGGCATGTTTCTTGCCACACTTGGCCTGGCCGAGTTGGAGAACTAGGTGAATTGGCGAAGCTGAGAAACCTGTGTTCGGTTTCGCATGCGATGCCCTAAACAGGCTAAGCAAAGTACACAATGTTGGGTAGGACCGGGTAGGATGAACACCATCCTTTGGCCCTCCCCGTGCATGAGACTGGGGAGGACAAGACCATGCGGTTTTCTCAGTACTGCGAGTGCAGGGCACCGCCAGCATACCTTTTTCGATAACGCTCCTGGCAAGACATCACGTACCAGGAGCACTCGGTTACGATCCCGCAACGACATCAGCTGGGAGCCCAGGTAGACTCTCCCAAATGACTGCATTGCTCCCCTGTCCCAGCTCTCAAGCAAAGAGATGTCCTCGAGCCTGCCGAGGCCGAATCGTTGAGCCACCTGTAACAGTCGTCGTCGTCGTCGTAGTAGTAGTAGTAGTAGTAGTAGTGGCAGCAGTAGCAACAACGAACTATTGTTGTTGTTGTTGTTGTTGTTGTTGCTGCTGCTTGTGTTCTTACTGCTGCCACCGTCGATGTGGTCATGGTTGCACTTGCCAGTGCTAGAGCTGCAGGCAGCAGCATCAGCGGAAGCCATGGGTTCAAAACTAGATATCGGCCTCCTTGTCATTGTCGTCGCCACTGTGGAGAACAAGTCGGACGAGGAATGCACAGGTTAACAGTGACTTTTCTCACATCCTTGTTCTTCTCAACACCATTCGCATTCCTGCTCATCTTCCGACAGACCTGAAGACCTCGCCTTGAGGCCGTGGAGGTCATCTGGAGGCTGGCAGAGGAGTGCATCCTGTGTTGGATTTGCCGGTCAGGTGGAGCCACGAGAATTCGGACGGCTTAGCATGGCTTGGGAACAAAGAAAATCGTTGCTTGAACCTGGGAGGCGCAGGCTTCGCAAGGTGCGCAGCAGTTTCGAGCGTCGGGCCTTTCATCGCTCTTTGCTTCAAGAATCTCGGATAAAATTGTTCAGGAGTTGCCTCAAAGTCGAAAGGATTTAGGCATGAGCGTAATTAAGGGATGTCTGTCGCATGTCTCTTTGTTAGGGCGACTGTGCCCCGATAGTGTCCCGAAGTACTGGTGAGATGACTTTCTCATTTCTGGCGAAACAAGCTTGGGATCAACCACCTTGCGTCGCACCTCGCAGTAGTGCCGCAGCCTCATCAAATGTTGCTCCTGCATGCGCAGTCCGTGTAATTATGCTTGGAGAGAACTCGGTCAGCACTTTGGACGCCGCCCCATGAAAGGATCACAGCTGTTGCTCTTCCTCATAACGAAAAGAGATACCGTCGCAACTTCAGACTTGAAGCACAATCTAAACAAAGAGTGCATGTAGTTGTGCATGCATGCAACTCATTCGGGCATTCGTTCAGTACTCCATCATCCATCCCTCCATCCATCCATCCACCCACCAACCCATCCATCGCATGCATTCAAAAAGATGTGCACACGTTTTCAATTGCCTTTCCCGTTGGTGGTGTACCTATAAGTGTATTAAGATGGTGACGGCAGGTGTCTGATAGTGCTGCTACTAGTAGCACCTTGTGTACCCGGTCCTCTGCAAGCAGGAGCAGTTTGTACACATCCTCCACGGTAGCAGTCGACAGGCTCGGCAAGGGCAGCGAGTGGTCCACCTGACGAATGCTCAAGTCGGCCAGCTTTGAGCATCGTTCGATGTACCTTCGCTGTGTTTATGAGGATTCCGAGCTACCACTACAAGTCGCACAAATTGTACGCTCACCTCTTACTGATTGCACTGGATGTGCTCTCACACATGCCTGCAGCTCCGAGCACTCAGAGACGGGTCGCTTGCGCGAGGCCTCAGCAGCAGATCTGGGCACTGCCTGCTCCATGCTGAGCCACCGCTCTGGTATGCTTTAGCATGATGATCGCTGATATGTTCTGCGCGACCACCTGAGCAGCACTGAAGCTGGGGGTTCTGCAGGAAAGGTTTCATGGCTCAAGTCGCAATCCATGGCTGCGGTTGAGGACATCTTCGGATATCACCTAATCGCCACGACCCAGGTCGCTACTGCGTCATGATCTCGCTTGCTAGTTACTACTGTTTGGGCTCTCGAAAATGAGATGGGTACTTCGCTGCAAAACGTCTTGAGTTGTCAAGTCCTGTGGCTCGGTTGCACTGGCTTCCGTGCACGCATGTAAATGCAAATCGAGGACATTGACGGATGGAGTCTTGCAGATTCCCTGAACGCTTTGGCAGCACCGCTCGGATCAGTCTCTGGTCAAGATCAGCTGCACTTGCCTTTTGCGAGAATTTCTACCTGAGATCCAACGTTCTGATCTCGTCGTGAGACAGCGGAAAATGACCGCAGGCAAGTTGTGCTGGACCCGTCACTTCAGCTACTTCCACCAGCATCGCGATGATTGGGTTGTAGCTTTGTCTGGGGACATGCAGGCCAATGCAAAGAGTAGCTGGCAGATGAGCGAAAGATCGGACAATCGGAGCGGTCGCCCGCACGCAGAGCGATGGCTGCTCAGCTCACTTGGTGCCGAAGCCGCATTTCCATTTGGGCTGTGTCCACCACTCTCCGACCTGGAATTGAACAATGTTCACAGAGAAGCTTTGATGTAGGGCTCGAGGGGAGGCAACACGAGGCCTTCTTCTCGTACTCATCGTACGTATCCTCCCACCTCCAAGGGCACGTAGTGTCCCCTCCTCTCACAATATCCAGCCTCGCCTCTTCGGGAAAGTGCCACTGCGAAGCATCAGCTCGCGATAATCCTGCGCTCCGAAGGCCGATGCAGCTGAGGTCTACGGGCAGAGGCGGGAAAAAATGGCGGCCCCAGGGACTAGGCGGCCTAGGCGGCCTAGGGCCCAGGCCCTGTTGGTCTTCAGGAAGTTGCCATGCGGGCCGGTGACATTCTTGGCCATGGGCATGTTGGACACCTGGTCGGAAGGCACAGCGCCCGCAACTTCCGAATTGAGCAGATCGCACACTTCTCGACAGAAGGCAGCAGCACCATCCTTTTTGCTGCTGCGTCAGCCACGGAAGGCTCTGAAGAACCGATTCACCTTTTGTGGGGCATTGGCTAAACCTAGGCGATGCCGGGCAGAGCAGGAGCAGCTTCCTCAGCCAACGATGAGCTTCAGTACATTCCTCAGCTGCTGTGTGCAGTCTTTACAATAGGGAGAGCCGATGAAGCATGACAAGGGCTCTGAACACCGGCTTTCTTTCAAAGCAAAACCTTCTGGTTACGGAGGTCCAGGTAAAGCTCGCTGCCCGGCCCCAAAGGAAAAGCCAGGCCCAATTGCCCAAAAGCCAAAGCCCTGTTTCAGCAAATTTAAAAGGCACCCTGGGGGACCACACGACAGAATTCAACTTTCCGCACGGACTGCAGATAGGGTACCGAATCATGGTGTAAATGCCTCCACTCCGGCGGGGTAGGGTGGCACGAATAACCGCACCGCCTATCTACGAGCCACCGAGCAGCTGCCAGCGTTGGCTCGAACAACTCAGGTGAACTCTGCAATCATCGAAATCCTTCTATGCACACGAGCTCCACGAGCAAAAGAACCCTTGAAGCATCTCGGGACCACGAGTACCGAGAAGCCCTAGGAAAGGGCAAAGAAGCGGCTTCTGCAAGACGAGGGCCGAGAGGCGCTGCTGCGGAGTGCCGGTGCCGGGGCCCAGCGCCGGCATGGTCCCCATGGGGGTCCCCATGGTGGTCCCCTGAAGGGTCCGCGGGGCCGATGGCACATTCCTTGCAGCACGGGCACAACCGAAATGGCAGGGGCAGCGCAGGGTTCAAGCGCAACACCATATCGAAATCGGCGAACAGCGGCGCGGCCTCTGCTAGGGGTGAAAAATTCATGGCAGGATCGTGATTAACGGTCCTTCATTCACCTTTCCGCATCATCAAAAGGTCCATTCGGACTCCATCACAGACACTGCAGATGCAATATTCGCTTGTACACTGGCTGTGCAGATCTTCGCCACGACCGTCTCTCGGAAGGCTCGACAAAACCACGGAACTCCTCTCCCTCAGTCCCTGTGAGGGCACAACAAAGGGCCAGCTAAGACTCTTTAAGCTCTTCAGGGTGCGGACTTTAGGCTTTGAATTTTCTGGTCCTCGCAGACAGCTAGAGCATCCCATGCCAAGAAATCACAGCCGAGCATCGACCTCTGACTCTCCACATGGACTCCGTCTTTGCCAATTCGCCACACGTAGTCCTTTGTAGGAGCTTCGGATCTGGGCTATAGGACCTGCTGCTGTTGCATTTGTCATTGCTGACGCTGCCTTGGCAGTCTTGTGGTCTTGCAGATTTATCTCTCTTGCGGTCTGCACTTGTGAAGTTTCGACCTTTGCATGGTCTCCTTGTCACTGTTGGTGTAAGTCAGACAGTTGTTTCAAACAGGGAAAGTCTAGGCTTACGGTTTGCTGCAAGCATCACATAGCGACTTGTGCAAGAGAGGTGCAGCGATCGAAATCTTGGTCATACTGCCAGTGGTAAAGATGACCTGAGCTTGCAAGATGTGCGCTCCACGCAAAACCGTCCGCCAGGCAACGTCTGAAAGCCGACGGCTACAGAGTCGGCATGCGACAACTGCAGCGCTCTAGACACCAAATCCAAAGTAGCCGAAAAAAAAAACTAAAAAGCCCTCGCTTCTCTCAGCCATTCGCAGCCGGTCGGCAGTGCGTGGCCGCCGCCTGTCCGCCGGCAGATGACTTCCGAGCTCCTCGTTGATCTCCAGTCCCCTGGGATGAAACGGTCCCCTCCCAGTCGTGCATTGATGAAAGACGCCGGTCATAAGAAGAGCAATACGGCAGACTCGAATTAGCTCATGCAAATGACGTCGTCGTCTTCTCATCATCGTCGCAGTCTTGGAAACTCTCTGTAGTAGTAGGGCCGCAGCAGCCGCCGCACGAGCGGTCGAAGTAGCCAACACAGCTGCGTTGTAGCGACTTAGCGATACTAGTAGCTGCAGCAGGAGCAGTACCAGCCACAGTAGTGCCGGTAGCAAGTCAAGATACCACGGTGATGCTACTGCTGCGATGATGCTGACGATGATGATGCACCACGAGGACGATGATGGTGATGATGGTGATGATGAAGATGACGCTAGTGCTGATAGTGATGACGATGATTGAACTTATGATTTGATCAGAAGGTTAGCTCGGCAAATAACACCGGTGGACTGACTCCTCCTGCCGTTTTGTGACCCTTCTGAATGCTGTTCAGGCGCCTGCGGTCAACGAAGTCACGGAAGCAGCTCAGAACTTTCTCCTCGCAGAAGATACGCTCTCTCTTGGTTTATTCTTGAAGCCTACATCGAAAAATCACAAACACATCCGTTCGTCCGTCCTGCATTTGTGGATCCAGCTCATCCGCAGGACGATGAACCAACAGGACCTTGGCAGCTCTGCACATGATAAACCAGCAAAAAGCTATGCTTTCCGGTGCTGCTCTGAGGTTGAGCCGCGGCAACACAGGCACGTTATCACATAGAGATCTTGCCGAGGCACGTGAGGATCATGCACAAACGCCTTAGCTTTTTGGACAGGTCTCACATGACAGGCAACCTCGAGAGAAAGTGCACTCTTCACAATGCATGGAACTTGTGCGCTGTGTCATGCCGAGGCAGGCCAGCATGGAGCCAGCCCTCAGCCGTTTCCAATTCCTTTTCGGCTTTTTGGAGCCCATCATGCCGTTTTGAGGGTTGGGCTGAGTCGCTGCGCAACCTCTTGAGAGTCTAAGGTTTGCCACTCGCCACTCTTTTCGCCACAAACTTATGAACTGCATCCGTAGCGTATGCTCTTCTTGGGGTACATAGCCCGACACTCTTTCGGTTCATGCTTGGCAAATCCTGGCCCGGACACCCCCCCGTCCGCCTGCGCGGGTCTAGGATTTGCATTCATGCTTCCCCGAGTCACTCGAGCATTTAGCCTAGGGATGTCTAGGGCATCCACCCACCCCACTACGATGACCTTCTGCTCAAATTATCCATGCATCCGGCGGGCTCGTGCAAGCTGGAACCGCCACTTCTCGCTGCTGCTGAGCTGTTGCGCCCAGGGAGGCAGCGACTCCTGCAAAAAAACACAGGCGAAAGGTCAATGGGCATTGTGGATGCCATGGTTGCTAGGCTACCAAACACTCAAAAGCAAGTGCAGCGGCGAAGGGAATGACAAAGTAGGCATTCAGGCCTGCTTTAAGCAGGAGTTTGTATTGTTCACCAAACCTTATTCTGTTGGATGCCGAGCAAGGAGAGGGAATGAGGGAAGGAGCAAAAGCGCAAAGGAAGCAGGAACGCAAGGAGGGAAGATAATCAAAGGTGGATGCAGTCTGGCTGCTAATCTAGCTATGGACGATGTCATGTGTTCATGTGTTCTGGTTGGCAAGCACCTTTAACACTGCGGCCATGATTGCCAGGATGAGGACTGCTTGAAAAAGAAAGACTCAAGTCACAACACTGACAGCACAAGTTATCACGAACGAAGAAGAACCGTACTAGTACAAGCACAGGCTGGCGCCTCTTCTTCCTCGTCGTCCTCTGGCTCATCCCCCCCGAAGCATGCGCTGAAGGGGCTGTCCGGCTGATCCTGCACATGCTTCGGGTTGTTGATATCTGATCACGGGCAAAGTAATGCATGCCGATAGAGTTGTCTCTCCACTCCCGCAATAAATATTGGTATAACTACGGGGTCATCTCGAGCTCAGGGATGTCAAGATTAAGGCATTGAGGATTTCTGAGTCCTAAGGGAAGCCAGAACCCGCGTTAGGCGTTAGGCGTGCGGATGTAACTCTCTGCACTCCCTGCCTGCACTACGGTCTTCTTCCTGATGAAGGACCGCTCCTCGCAGCCGGCAGAAGCTTTGTTTTCTCTTGTCTCTCCAACTATCACTGGAGCCATGACACCCTTCAGTGAGCCAAAGGCTTGGGTGCTCCCTTTTCTTAACTTGGCATCGCCCCAGGCATGTGCAACTGATGTGTACCCTGAGCTCTTCGACTGCCTGTCCAACCACCCCCACGCAATGAGAAGCGAGATATGGGCAGGCAACAAACGTTGCCGTTTCCCTCTCCAACATGTTCAGGGATTTGGGCAAGCAATGAACCAAGTGCAAAACCAACTTTCCGGTGTTGGGGTTCCCTGGACCAAGCCTCTTTGTCGTAGAGCTCCATGATCCATTCCTGGATCATGCAGATGCTGCAGAATTATCGAGAAGTGCTGGAGCAATTGAGCGCGGTCTCCCCAAGCTAGCATGTCGGCAGATTGGCCGCCTCCCGGCTGCACACCAAGTATGTGTACATATATATATACACATTTACATATACATATATATATATATATATGTTATTATATGTATATGTGTTATGTATATGTATGATGTATATACATGTACATAAACAGGCTTGGGCCCCAAGGCGGCTTCAGTCCTTGTCCAGGGCAAGTCTCCGCAGGATTCCTCAGAGGGCCATACAGTGGGCCTTTGGGCTTTGATTGAGGGCGTAGAATAGGGTTTAGGGGGTACAAAAACTGTAGTTAGAATAAGGGCCCAAAGCCCCATTCTTCATTAGGGCTCTTTATGCTTTCGGTCTCTAGGGCTTCCGAGCTTCCTTACTGTCGCGGGTTCAGAGTTTGGTAGATTTACTGGCTCGCCTTAGGCCAGGAGGCGTAGGGCTTGCAAATCAAGGTGCTGCGTCCGCGTGCAGGGTCTCCGATATCCGAAGACTCCCTTGACAAGACTCGCAGGGAGTTTGCACAACACGTTCGAGCTTGAGTGAAGGAATCTGCTGCCAAGCCCGGCACAGGTGCTTTGCGAGACTCAGGTTTCCTAAGAGGCCACCATTCCTCAGCATCACATGTCGCCGAACTCTTTGCAGAGAGCACTGCGTTGCATTGCCACCCTGTCTTCTAAGTTCACGACTCTATAAATAGTGGCTCCTTGGCTGCGATTGCCGCACAGACGCGGTACGGACAGGGACCAGGTGTGCTTCGACATACTTCTGCATGCGTTGCAGCGTCATGGGGCACTTGCAGGACCATAAGGTGCGGCGAAATCCTTAATGCGCCCACGCCGTACACATGCAAGAAAGTCTCATGGAGCAGAGTTGACAGCCCGAGGCACAAAACGCGGCCCCCGGATGTCGTCACAAGATCTCCGACCTTCTTCAGGATGGACCCCTTCCCTGGCATAGAAAGCACACTTTAAAACCTCCGCCGTGTAGAGATGGTGCAACGACCGGCCTGAGTCATGCGGACCCAAAATCTGGATGATCGATCCTGGTCATCATGCCCACCGCTCAGCTGAACAGGGAGACAACGTGCCCTGCGACATTGACAGTAGTGCCTTGCGGAGCCTGTGTTGACAAATTCGGCAGATTGGAATGCTCCTTGCAAGACCAGGCACAGTAGACTCAGTAGACGCTCATAGGTCGACCGCTGGCCGCTGGCCCCGCCTGCCTTCTTCTGGATTTACCCCTGACTTTCTAAGACGCCCCATGTGTCTCTAACAAGATCAGTGAAGGCCCCGAAGCAATGTGATTTCTTCAACAACGGATCCTTCCAAACACACAATCGTGCATCCCAGAGAAGCCCACCCGGCTGCCTAACAGCTTGTAAAACAAGCATGCCAAAGCTCGATGCTGATGTCTTTGAAGACTATCGGAATCGAGTCAAACATCGGTGCCTCGAAAGTCATCCAGTGTCAGCAGCTGTTCTACATCTTAGAAGACTACAACCAAGGAAACGGAGGCCATTAACCTTATAGGCGCTGCCGTGGACTTTCGGACAAGGCACCGTTGAGAGGCCCAACACGAACTCCTCTCGCATTTTGTGGGCTTCACTGCGTTCTGGTATGTCCTCGGCCGACTCGAAGCACACCATGACAAGCATCAACGAGCAAACTTCTGGCATTGCGAGCTTCACGCAGCGGAACATTTGGGCTGTGCCCAGGAGCCAAGTTGGGCACCCTGAACCCTCTTCTTTAGCCCCGCAGCACGGTGGATGTACATGTTTAGAGCAAGATTCGATGGGCAAGTTGAACTGCGTGGTGAGCCCAGCCAGAGGACTGATGGCCTTGCTCAGGCATTCCAGGCCTGCCAGGGGCCAGGGCTCCTATGAGCTCCCTTGTGCAATGCCAGGCTGGTCGGAAGTGACCACAGAAAGACTCAAGCACAGCGCTTCTGCGTTTGTGATATCCCTGCCTTCCAGAATCGTCGAAAACCTGTCTCCAAGATCCTGCACTGATCTTAAGAACTTCCACAACGTGGGATTCAGAGTGCCCCCATCCTTCTCATGGTATGGATAAGACTTCAGCTGAACGAAGTGACAAAGTAGCTGCTGCGAGTGCTCACCACAGATTCAACATTTCTTCTGAACTCAGCCACAGAGAGCACTGGTCCCTCGGATGTTTCAGCGACCTTGTAGACATTGATGGTGGCGAGGAAGGAACCCAGCGAAGTCGTTCCGCCCAGAACGAGCCGGGATGAGAGTCCTGGGCACGGCTGAGAAATCTGTTATGCATAGGGATGCTTCGAGATCTCTTGGCCCGCCCCTGAACTTTCCTCAAGCTCAGACGAGCTGTGTCGTGGCTTTTGCGGCATCTGCTCTCTATGCTCTGGGAGCCGAAGCTGGAGGCCCCATCTACGATGGAGTCAAGAAGCTGAAAACGGTATCCACTAAAGTCCCTGCATCGCTGCACATGCCAATGGCCAATGATGTATCGCATTCAGCATGGGCCAACTGTGTACTAGCACTGATTGCTAGTCGTCTGCCGCCGACAAGACCTTCTTGTTGACATATAGGAGAAGAGACCAGAAAACCATGACAAGATCAAGAAACGTCAACAACGATGCAAATCTGAATTCCAATGGCAGGACGGCGAAAAGACACAACGTCCAAAAAAAATCGAGTGTCAATAGCAAGACGAGTCACGACCGTGCCAGCTACAACATGCTACGGCAATTCGACAGTGTCCAAACATGGGCCTCGACACCAAGTCTAGGCCCAAATTCTCTCGAGCTATTGCATGAAGCTTATCAACCTCTTGTGTATTGTGATGCCAAACCCGACGACGCCACAGACGACGACCACGACGACTGCTACTACATACCATCATGCCGGAAACTACACAAGTGAGACGAGAGGCCTATGTATGTGCCGATCGCGAGAAGCGTGATCCAGGGAATCAGCTGCGCATTCCAGAACTCAAAGAATTTCCTTTTCAATGCCAAAAATTTGCAGCAAAGCGAGCGCACACAAGAAGCACACACATCAGCACCGGATTTTCATGGTCTGATGTCACTCGAAGTCGGCCGAGGAACAAATCCATGACCCATTTTCTCTGGTTTCGCAGCGATTCTTCGAAGCGCCCTGCAGACACAACGTCTTCAAACTCTGAGTTCAAACTGAGATTGCTCTGCAACTTAACGGCGCAAGCAAGTACATCAAATGCTGAGAACCCGCAACGGTCATTGGAAGTGAAGCTCAATGTGCAGGGTAGGGGCTCACCACGTAGCTGCGCTTGTTGTAGCAGCCTATGAGCTTCTGTGCCTCAACTCTGGCACATCTGGCACAGCGACTTGCAACGGGCCCAAGCCCGAGCCAAGATGCATTGTTCACGTGCATCAGAGTCCCGATCGTGGCACTCTGTCCCTCGCCTTCCTGACAAAGACACCATGCTACAAAAACCCGTCAGGACTTCCCGACTCTTAGCACGTCAACTGCTCCTTCGCCATGAGGGCGAGCCTTCTCCTCGGCAGGATTGCAAAGGGGCATAGGGGGACGTACCGTGCCCATTCATTTTGGAATCAGACATCACCAGGAGCGAGATCATGCGGTCCGAGCCCTTCCAATTCAACAGCCTGGCGACCGATACGTCACGCCCAGGTAGATGGAGATGAGAATTGGGTACACGAAAAGTGGGAAGGCACCTGATCAATGGAAGCGATTTCTCAAAGGAGGTCTCCCTTCTCACCCTTGCCAATAAAGTAGGGTGCGTGCTCCGCGGGTGCTTCCGCAACATGAAGATGCCCACCATCACAATCTTTCCGAACATTGCCCAAAGCTCAAAAATGATTAGGTAACCTGAGCTGCAGGAGCCTTCACGGACTGGTAAGGGTAACTCCATGCTTTAGCTGCGGACCGGCAGCCATCCGAGACTAGATCGGGAATGTCTTCCATGATGCTAATCTTCAGGTCCTCTGCAAATGCACTAGCACGGAGCGGCAAAAGCCCAGATCCTGGAACCGGATGTGCGGTCTCTGCCAACCGCCCCTGAAGGCCAACTCGCTTCGGTGCGTTTGCCCCGGGCTCCTGGATCGGAACCTTCGCCCGAGACTCGGGCGTGTAGCGCAGATACTTCCGGAAGAGATTCACGCGGAGGTGGTAGCGGATGTTGAAGCCTAAGACGCAGGCTTCGTCAGTCTCAAGTCCCCAGAAAGCACTAAAGACTAAAGCCAGCTGAGGTCCTAAAGCCAAGCAGCCCATCTCCAACACGGCCATCTCAAAGTAGTCCGTTCCCAGCAGAAGAAACTCGGAAGCTTCAATGTCTCTTTGCGCAGAAACCGGCTGTCCAGAACTTGAACCCTGAACTCTGCAACTGGAACCCCCCAATTTGCTCCAATCCAAAACCCCCACAGGAGACACTTCTCCCCTAAGAGCCCAGCGTTGGGTAGGATCCAGGCCAAGCCCAGGGCGACGGCCGTGGCATCCCGATCCCCGGGGACCTCGGAGCGGAGCTGGGAAAATCCTCCCCGATATGTTTCGGGCTCCTTCGGCTCCGAGGGCTTTGGGTTTTGGCGGGCTCGCCGTTGTCTCATTCCGATCACGTTCCTGTTTGAAGCGGCCCGACAAGCCTGTTGGCCGTGGGACTTTGTCCTTCAGGCAAGTGCATCCGCTTGAATCTCAGTTTGTCCGTCTTTCGCACAAGCGGAAAAACATCGACAAAAGCCGGTCAAACTAACCTACAGGTATCCGCCGCGCCCGACCCACAGCTTTGGCTTCAGAAGGGCGCCGGGACAAATGTCCAAGGCATGCCACACCCACACGAGAGTCCACTCACCAACGGAGAAGAGTGTTGATTGCAGGTTTAGCCACATTTTGAGCTGTGCTTCTGCATGCACTCAAACACAGAGACTCACCACAGACTGCAAACTCGCACAACATCTAGCTCTTCTCTTCGCTCTCTTGGCACTCGACCCACAGGCGCTCCGATGTGCTTGGGTCCTGCAATCGTGTCTTTAATTTAAACTCTCAGTCTGGCCCAGCAAAGGCTCCTCGGTATTCAACACGGTGTCAACGAGGTAAACCCTGGCCCAGGCGGCCCATAGAAGAAAATGCAGGCTGTTTGCTGCTACACGTGCGCCTGAGGAAGATGGTCGCAAGGTAATAGAGGTTTCCAAGGTTGGCGAGAAGCAGCACCAAGATCGTCTTCCTAGCAGGGCATCTGAGAACTTTGATGCGGGGAGGAGGGAGTCAGACATGCTCAGAGGGATGAGGCGTCCGAGGGTCCACCAAATCTCCGGGACGTGGTGAAAACAGAAGCCTGAGACACAGTTCCGCCGCAGATCTATATTTTATAAAGGCAGCCACCTTTGAGGGCTTCAAACGATGTTGGTAGGATATGTGGCATTTCGGCAGGCGAAGCACTCAAGTCGAAACGCTCGGGAGTCCAGACATTACTCGGCAAGTCGCCACGGTACAGCCGAGGCACCCATGAAGGACTTGAGCAAGCTAAAGCCGACCTACACAAGCGGAAGGCTTCAGCTTCTGGACCTGGGATACATCTGAGAGCTGGCCTCGTAGAGCGCCTCTTCGTCATGATCTTCGATGACCTCCCGATTCCCGGCATATCCAAGCTTTCAGTCGCAAATGTGCTAAAGTCGGCAGGTGCCAGTGGGCGAATGCTGAGGAAACTTGCAGTCACCACAAACCTCTTTGTGGTCGTTTGACGGAAACACGTCGTCGTCCAAGATCATTACCTCCATCGTGGAAATGGACAATGCCGTGAACACCGTCTCATCAACAAGCAGATAACACATTCCTGCCCTCATGCCGCCTACGTCTAGGACTCTACTCCACACCTCCGCTCCTGCCACCAACCTGTGCTGGTTCCTCAAGATTGCTCCTACCACCATGCTACTGCTACCTGTACATTGCTGCTGCTGCCACTGCGACTGCGACTGCTACTCTACTACTGCTGCTGCTCCTCCTGCACTGACTACCACGAGGACAAGTACTGGTATGTAGTCGGAAGCCTACCATTACTATACCGAAATAGATCTGTTGCTGCTGTGGTGGTAGCGCTGCTATGTAAGTCAATACGGCTGTTCATTCAGACAAGCGAGACGTTTTGTTCACGAGAGCATAAGAGAAACCCGGGCCATTGATGCTGCCGAGCAACTACGCATTTGGCACATCGCGGATCGATGAGGCAGTTTTCAGGCTCGTCAAGCTCAATGTCAAACTCCAACGTCGTGTCAAAGGCATCATCATTGAGGATTTCTACCCTGGCGGCAAAACTCATCGACGTTGCAACTTCGCTAGAAGCCAAGTGCCGTCCAAGGTTCTGAAAAGTCCGAATGCTTTCCCCCGGGCCGAACGTGATTGTTCCGCCCCCTCAGGAACCGACAGGGATTCAATGCCATGGCCATTCCCTTCCTACTTGTCAGGTACATCTCCAAACTACCCACATTCCACTCCTCAAGATCTTCACGCAGCCTTCCTTGAATCGTCCTGCGACCCGGCCACCTTCCACGTACTTGTGCCCTGCGACTGCCGAACCGTCCTGCGTTCGGAAAGACACCGTCCACATGCGTACGCAAGCACACCTCTCTATCGGCTGACCAGTCTGGACAGGTATGGGCAAATCTTTGACGACCATAGGTTCAAATCTACAGCACGAAGTCTTCGCAACGGCTCGTAAAGACATGAAAGATGTTGTCCAAATACGTCGAAGTACTCATCCGTTGTCTGTTCCTTTAACCGGAAGGGGAAAAGTTCACTGGAAACAACGAACAGGTAGACCCAGCTCACCTTGACAGCGCAATATGGCTGACTTTCATTCAGCTTCGCGGAAACGGGTTAGGAGACACAAACGTTCCTCCGCTACATGGGAAACGGCCGCCGGGAATCAACGTTGCAAAGATCCCTTGATTCATGCCATGAACATCATGAAACAGCTCGCAGCAAATCCAGCTAACTAGTTTCGGAAACGGATTTGAAAAACGTCCTGTCAATAAGAGAACAGTTCCACAGTTTGCTCAGTCATTCGCCCAAGCACCCTCTGTACAGCATATTGCCTGCAAGCATGTATGTGTACAAGCATAGGAAACCGCTACCGTATCTAGAAGTATAGACGTATGCGTGTCAAGATAAAAACCATCATTTGTTTCTGTGAAACACATCAAGTGCCTTCAAACCCGAGATACTGCTGCAGGGTGTTGCACTCTCTGATATTTACTAAACAGATTCAACTCTGCCAGAGACCCAGGTCCGACTTAGGAAATATCATGAACACGACGGGGCAAGCTTGTGTTGCCCCTAGCCTTGCTACTCTCAGAAACCACCGCCTTCCCGAAAGGACGAACAAATCAGGTGGCGGCTACCATCCCGCTAAGTCGTTTAGTAGATAACGTAAGAGTTCGGTATTCCCTACACCTTTGCTGACTAAGAACTGCCTCGTTTTTGTGGGTTACGGTTACATGTTGCCCTCCGGCCTCTCCACTCACAGCAAGAGAACCTGATAAAGCAAGATACGCCTGACACCAGAAACCATTAACCAAAATGATCAGGACTCTTAGAACTTAGTTCGATGGTGCATTCTGCGACTTCGTCTGGACGCAGACGTTACCTTTTTGTTTGCGGATGTTTCATTATTCCGCACTTGGAGTGGGCAAACCACCAGGAACATAGTTCTGCAGGTGTGTGTGGGTCTGTGTTTGTGCAAATAAATATACATACATATACACACACGTAAATTATGTAATACAGCAACAACCTTTACACAGTCACACACACACACACACGCGTGCATGTTTCCGTGCATCGATGTAAAAGATGTCGATGCGTCTATGAGCATGGAGACATCTTCATGCATGCATGCATGCATTCAACTGGATACCATGATTTGCATGCTCGTCTGTGACGACACATGTCACAAAAGCCGATAGACAAAACTGCACTGAAAGATGCATAATTCCAGTGTGCATGTATGCACATGCTGAGTTCTTTAGCACAAGACAGTGCGATACACGATTGCACGAGCTTCGCAATACGCAATCACAAGATGTAAGTTCTTGCAGTATGCTAGGGCCAATTTGCCAATATCTGGTGGCTGCCGTCTGAAACTTTTATTTGTCTCATCACACATTTAGCAGTTCAGAGTTCTTTGACATGCCATGTTGCTTTGACCGACAGGGTGGGATCCCGCAATCTCCTGGGTTTGCCACGTGACTGAGCAGGAGCAGCGCAAGTCGCCTGAAGCACAGGTTCACGGAACGCCAATGCCAAACTCGTCGGGTCCGGCCCATTCGGCCGGCCTGGCCTATTCGGATCACCCGTATGATTGCAAACTCCTCTGTCTCTTTGACATAGAAAGTCTTGGAGAGGAACTGCACTACGTCGCCATCCTGGAGACATGGAGAATTCAACATCTGGTGCAAGCTGCGGCGCCATGCAGACCCAGGCCTTCGCGGCGAATGTTGGACGGCTACTCCTCGCACTCGCATATTGCCTCATTCTGGAAAAGAGCTCAGCCCTGCAGGAGTCCCTTTGCAGCCAGCTCACTGGTAGTCACCATTGTTGGGCTGGAGCTGGAGCTGTCGCCCCGCAGCAGGCCCGGCAGACTGGACCTCTGCTACAAAACCACAAAGAGGCTCAGATCTTGCTTTTCCTGGGGCTCTTGCCAATCTTTGTAGATCCTGTGCACGGTTACCTGAAAGAAGAAACGATCGAGCAACAAAGCCTGTGAGTGTCGATCTGGCCCATTCCCAGTTCCCAGGTGCCTGATCTCAATGGCAACAGGGTGGCATTTGCGCTGGAACCGGCCATGGCCGGAACCCAAATGTGGCCAATGGGTTAGATTGGGCTAGATGTTCTACGTAGTGATGTGATGTGATGATAATGATGTAATAGTGATCCTTGAGCCTCCATGGAACAACGTCTAGCACAGCCGCTTCTCGGAATGCCCAGCAAAAGGCCAACTCCTTCGGCGTCACCTCGTCCATCTCATCGGTCGCAAAAAACTCAACGAACTCTGCCTAGGCAGTGGCAACTCAGTCGAACAAGTTGCCACATGCAAGCTTGAACTGCGCAAACAAGCAATGACAGCAGCATCAGCAGCTACAACAGCAGTCGCAAAGCTGCACGAACTCAGTAGGCAAGACTGCTAGAGTGACGACAGCAGGAACTGCAGGCCAACTTCAATCGTCGGGGCACCGGTTGCAGCGTCTTGTGGGCATGGTACGAGGATCCGATCTCCTAAGTGCAGAGAGCTGAACAGCTCTGCACGCAAGTGAACTCCAAGGTTGCTATCTGCAGGCAAGCTGCATCGCGAATGACCAAATACTTCTGAGTCTGCTCTTGGTCTATGACGACACCCTCCCCGGCCTGGGACGACGAATTTCACTCGGGCTTCTGCTCTGAGCAGCAGGAGCAGCGCTTCTGAGTCAGGAGCAGTGTCGTTCCATTTCAGAACATACCCGAATGTTCGAGGATACCTTGACCCCACATACAAACAGCCGACGAACATGCAACAACTCTCTGTGTAAAAGCACAAACATCTGAGCTTCTCGCGTAAACTGCGCACACCACCGGCGGTGTCTTAAGCGCTTGAGGTACTTCGCCCTAGTTGTACCTTCAAACCTGCCAGCCCAAGGTTGGGAACATGCGTGGAAACCATGGTGAGAGACGAAGCCTGTACTTTTTCTCGACGGGAATCTTCAGCGACTGCATATGCACCTGCGGCAAATGCACGAACCGGAAAGCCGGATCCGAACTCAAAATTTGCTGGTATTGTTCTCCTGTGCTGCCCTTCTGGATGTGGTGAACACCAAACGAAGGTTGTCGATGGCCTGTACTTGTCTTGTTTCACCACTGACTACGTTGGAGATGCCCTCCACGAAGGTGGAATCAGAACCTGCTGCATCACACCGAGAGCACGTGGGAGGAAACCACCACACGCAGCGGAAGTAACGTCCAACTGGGCAGCCTCCTGCGCTTAGCTTCCACAAAAGCAAGCCCGCCGCTGCCAACAGCACATGTCCTGCCGAGGCCACTGCTCCACGAGATGTTGGGCGGTTGGTCCGAACCTGCCTGCCGCTAACGTCCTCGCACGGCCAGCCGGCCGACACTCCACCTGCGAATGTGTGAATGCAGGATGCCCTCATACCAGGCAGTCGCAAACAACCGTGCGCCCTCGGTCACCCCTCTTACAAAATGCGATGCCTTCCCATGCATCGTCATGCTGGGAGCAATGCCGCTGGTGGCAGTTTGAGCTACTGCCAGCTTGCGGAAGCAGAACCAACTTACGACTCTTGGCAATTCTCTCGCACTATTTTCGACATTCATTCAATTTGTGAAAGACAAACTACATCTAAAGACGTCGCATCTAAGTCTAAATTGAAGATCAGCTGTGGTGATGCGTTACACGGCAACACGAAAACATTAGAATCTCGCTTTCTGTTGCTCTTGGCATTGGTCAAATACCCACCAAGCTTCACACCGAACTGATATCAAAACACAAGATTCGTATAATTTCATATGCTTGGCTTTTCATTAGTGAAGCAAAATGACCAATATGCTTCGTCGCGACAAGTAACGATTGATCGCATCGCATTGCGTCGGCGTTACTCGTCAGTCTTGGTTCGGCTTCCCCCGACACTGTTGTTTCATCAAGCACCCGACAAAATAGAATGGTTTCGCTAAGCGCCAAAAGCGCCAGAAATTCCAAAAAACTCTGCAATGATGATGTGTCAACATTCAAACACAACGACAATGCGGAAATTGCAAACAAAATCTCAGAAAACTGCACTACTTCCGCTCAAATCCTGGATGTTTTCTCATTCACCCACGAGAAAGATCATCAAAAGATCAAACCACAAATTTGCCAAAATGGGTATTTGAAATCTGATGTAACTTCTCAACATCCCAAACACTCGACACTTTGTCGCAATATGTTAATTCGCTTTTTCAGTCGCGCAAAGCGTGTCCACGCTCGGCAGCAGCACGCGACTAACGTGTGGGGAAAACATCAAGTTGGCGGAAGCACACAACATGGAGAACAAGTTCACGGAAACAACGGATGGGACATGTCTTTACAGTCGTGACCTCGCTGATGCAACCCGGCATCCACTGCAAGATGTAATTCGCGCCCGACATGAAGAACTAAAGGGTGTCGTGCACTCTACCTTCTATTGCACTCGCAACAGTGACTGGCCAAAGAAAGTCTTGCAGCTGGCTTGCGCCAGACATTCAAAGGCACATCACGTCGGCTGCTCAGAACAGCAAAAAGGGCGCTTTGAGCGGCCGGTGTGGCACTCAAGCCAAGCAGCAAATTTCAGCCTCCTGTCCGCTGTAGTTTGTTGGATCAGTCACCTTTGCTTTCGCGTGAGCAGGTCTCGTCAACGGCGGCCGCACTCGGTTCTAACAAGAGTCTCAGAGGAAAGGAAGCAAAACAATAATGAAGCTGTACAATCGAGAAGCTGGTGAAAACAGAAGCTGCGACGTTTTTTTTGGCGATTTCGGAGGCTTTTGAAGTGCATGCTGCAAAAGTCCAACATTGGGGAACTGGAAGGACCTCCGTGAGAAACCGAACAAAGGAAACAAACACAAAAAATTGAGACAAATCCATTAATGGAAGGCCAAGCTTCTGCTCCAACGTGCGCGCAGTGGCAAGCAAACGTGCACCGCGGAGAGCCTGCGTTGCAGCGTAATATGCGCTGGTCCGCAGAAAGTCCACAGCAAGGGTCTCGGAATTGAAAAGGCAGAGCCACCTGTGCGGCAACAGCTACATGTTACTGCTTCCTGCACGACCTCGCCAAAAAACAAGGCACGAGGGCTGTCTGTTGTCCGTCCTTGCACGGCTGCCGGAGCTTCCTTGGGCTCCACTTATTGTCTTGGAGCGGCCTTGGACGACGGTTCTTTGTCGCTTGTCGCAAGCGGCTTTTCACACTGAACAGCCCACTTCGAGTTTATACGTTTCTGTTTCTGGGACGGAGCACTGAAGGTGGACAGCAGTGTCGTGACAGCCACTTGCAATTGGAGTTGAATAACGCGCGCTTGCGGCGCCACTGGCGCTTGGCGTGTGCAGGCAAGCGTTCCCCGCACGGCTAACTGTGGCACTGCTTGGCGTGCGCAGGCAAGCGTTCCGCCTTTACCTAAACCCTTCCACTTTGGGGTTTAAGGTTTAGGGTTTAAGCTTTATAGGTTTAGAGTTTAAGGTTTAGGGTTAAGGTTTAGGGTTCACCGGCGGAGAAGCAGCTTTCAGAAATACATGTTTGTGCTTGCCTGCAAACTTTGACGTTCCATGCTAGGGATTTGCTTCCAAGCCAACCAAAATGTTCACTGTAGATGGATTTGCGGTTGGGGCTTTAAACCCGGATTCATGCCTGCTGCTTTCATTGTGAGTCCAAAACTCCAAGATCGATGTCTGCTGCTCTCACTGCGGGCCCAAGCCTCTACAACCAGCTGTCTGCTGCTTTCATTGCCAGTCCAAAAGTCCAACATGGATGCCTGCTACTTTCACTGCGGGCCCAAGCCTCAAAAACCGCGTCTGCTGCTTCACTCTGCTTCAAGCGGCCTCAAGACAGCACGAAGCTGCGCGCTGTCCGGTGCCTCAAACAGAGTGAAACAACAAATTTACGATGAGTCAAAACTAAAAATCAAGCTTTTTTTTGGCGTGGGCGGGCCTCGTCGACTACAGCTGTAGCACTCGGTCCCTACAAACAGACAAACCAACAAACAAACGAAAACAGCGGTGAAACAGGGCGGCTAATTAACAGAGGTCGACAACTAGCTGCGGCGCACAGGCTTTGCCGGTGTTGGCCGTTCAGCACAAGCTACGATGCCTCAGCGACCGATCTACAACCACCGTGGGCCGTGGGCCGTCGCCCAGAGCTGTCCAAGACCATCGGTGGAGCCGAAGTCAAAGCTCCGGCCGCCGTTCTAGTTCCGTCGAACAACGGACAGCCCCGAGGTCTTGTTGTGTCACGATCGTGCACGGAAAATCCACAAGTCCACAGCCGACAACCAGTGGCGGGTGCCAGAAAAAGACCTTTCGACGTATGTCGAATGTCATGGACAGTGGAGTAGACCGAAAGGGCCCAATTCCTTACCGGGCACGCTCCGAAGTCGAAGGGGGCCATTGATCCAGCTGGCGTTGCATGTCGCTGCCACTGGTCGGGAAATGAGATTCCCGGAGGAGGTACAGCAGTTGATATTGGCCCTCATCATACAAGGTCTTGAGGCGGAAAAAACCGTACTGGAGTGTGTCAACGTCAGGCTCATGAAGATGCGGCATGAACTCCTCGGTAATGAACGGGAGCTGAATACCGGGTCCAATGCCACCTTGTTCGATGAAAGACTGAGCCGCTGCTCTCCAGCCGTCCTGTCCCCAAGGGTGGCCAAGCCGGTACCGTGGCCGGCTACCGTCGGGCATAGCAGCCTGATTGGACTCTTGTGCCACCAAGTGGTGGATTAGGACTTGGGCCCTGCAGTCGCTTGCATCGAAGAGGGCAAAGCGCCACAGGCGTGCTGGGAAGTAGAAGTCCATTTTCCGAGGGCCGCGCAACCAGAACACTACAACATGACTGAGCTCCCAACCGGAGGTGGTGGCAGCTGTGCGAAGGCGAGACAAAGCGGCATGCAAGAGCCCAGCAGACTGGATTGGGAGCGCAGGCTGTGCTTGCAAACCCAGAGAGGAATCATCTAACGGAAGCAGAAGTCGGAAGGTGCCTTTATAGACACCTGGGTACGAAAACATCTGAGGATCGAAATCCCCGCGTCTAGCTGGGAGAAGTCCACGGTGGAAGCCTTCCATCATGCGGGCAGCGATTGCGATTTGGGGCTGGCCTACAAGACCTCTGCCTTGATTCTAATCTCCACGAACCGCGAGCCGTTGTGCTCAACGGGCGCGACCTTTGCGAGCTGAAGGAGGGAGGCCGCATCAGGCTCGTCGGTCAGGGCCCTAGTTAGATAGAACACCAACTGTACCGGGAGCAAGAAGAGGGGTACCTTGCTGCGGATCGGTGCTCGAGTTCCCCCCTGCCGTGGGTCGCTGGGTGTTGGAGCCGGCGCCACGGTGGCGTTTGCCTGTCGCAGTGGGCCATCTTCTCGGTGCGAGGGACATTTGGATGAGGCTACCGTCACGCACGGGTGACTTGATGCCTGCCTTGGCATTCGGGAGCGAGAAGCGGAGTCCATCCAGTTCATCCAGGAGCAACCACCACCAAATTTCCGGACGCGCCAACTCATACCACGATAAATCAAAGACTCGGCCCTCGGGCAACCGCAGCACCGGGTCGCAGAATTGGGCTAGCGCTACGGACACTGCCAACAGGGGTGTGAGGCACACCCGGAAAGCCTCACTGGCCGTACAGTGTCGCAGCATGAGAGCACGATCGGCAAAGTCGACAACCCGCGCTCCAAAGTTCTGAGGGCTGATCTTGACTTCGCATGCCGGTAAGGAGAGGGGAGCGACAGAAGGGAGAGGCAGTCCGTCCCGCTGGGGAGAAGATCCCGTAACGCCAGCGCACTAGCCGGGCCTTCGAGGAGCTGCTGCCTCCCGCCCTTGGCCTGGTAACGGCGAAGGATCTCGTGCTGTTCTGCAAAGTCATCCTCCTCCTCAGGCGGAACACTTTTGCTGGGAATGGTGTCAACCCCGGGCACCAGGCGGTTTGGCGGGATGTCGACGGCGTTTAGTAGTGCTGCCACTCGCTGGCTCCACGCAGTGTCAGGAGCCTTGGGGACTGAGGCGGCACAGCTTTGGCTGCGAAGCTCTGCCGTCAAGCCAGGATCCTCTTTAGTCGGTTCGCCATCTGCCGGGTCGGGCGATGCAAACCCATCTTTATCATAGAGAATAGAGAGCACGGGGCAGACCTGTGGTGGCGACCGGCGGGAGAAGGGCGTCAGGTAGATCGGATTGATGCAGTAGCGCTGACACAAGGTGTTGGAGCCGTCCCAGCAACATCTTGTCGACTGTGTCAGAAGCAACAGCATATAGGTAAAACAGCCCTGGAACCGAGGAGACCAAAAGCCCCGCGGCGTCGTTTTGACCCCGGCACACAGTTGTCCGCGTATCCACCGTGAAAGGCGCCCCGATTGAAGACCGGTGATGCGGGGAACGGAAGGCGCTGTAGGCTCGTTTTGGTGGCTTCAAGCCCACCCCCTTGTGTGCACGGAGGCAGTGGAGGCTGAAGCGAGGTGGGTTAGTGAACTCCAGCAACCCAAAAACGGGATTTTTGGTGTCGAGCACCGGGTAAAACGGGCGTACTCGTGTGGGCTGCTTGGTAGGACCGCTATGCTCAAACTCCGTGCCGCGCAAGAGCAACTGCACGGGGTAGCCAGGCAGG